CCCCCGGGGAGGACTTCCCATTGCATAAGTCCCCTTTCCATGCTCCAAAACTTCTGTCCTCTTTCCCTTCTTGTCATTTCATCGTTGTGCTACACTGCGCTCAGCCCACCCATATTCCGTTTTTTCCATTACAAAGGAGTTTTAGGGGGCGGAGGTGGTGTGGTGGAAAGTGGCGTCGCTCACCACGTACACGGTTCCGGGAAAAGTCCAGGATCGATCTCTGCCGAGGCCAATCAACCCTTCTATTTCTCTGAAACAGGTGAACTGGACTTCGACGAGAGCGTAGAAACACCGATTTATACGTTGGCTGGTCTCAAGTTATTGTGGGACTTGGGGCATTCGAAAACCACCACGATTCCTAATGAGAGCACTATGCGTGGCGCATCCTGAAATGGATTGTCAGCGCTGTTTACCTTGGGAGAGGCATTTCGCAATTTTGCTGTTACCTTGTTGGAACCTGTACAATCTTGTCAAGCGCTAACGAAGCTCGATGCTATGGACAGCATGGCAGGATTTTACAAGTATCCACAAAAAGCATCGCTAGTGATCGATGGAAGCAGCAAAATGTCCCCACCAAGTCGAACTGTACCCGGATCGCCAAACGGTGAAAGCTTTTAGGAGTTTCAAAAAAACAACATAAAACCTACTAGTGCATGGCTAGTAACAAGTCTTTTGGACATAAATAATTGCCAAAAAACAGAATCCCATACACCTAATAGAAACGCCCACAAACGATCACTATATGTTTTTCGTCCACTAACATGGTTGTTTTTCCACGATAATGAGTGAAGATAGGATTAACCACGACCACATCGAAAATTCGTGATGCCCTTCCATAAACAATTAGCTTTCCTACAACTCTCTTTGGTGGGGACCGTACTCTGGATGTGCACATATCTTTTCTCTACATCACTACTCACTGCAGAAGGATAAAATGACAAAACCTCTGGCACTGACTCTCTCAAGGATGCGCCATTCATTCCACCCCGATTCATATTCTTAGCGGCATTTCGAAGGTAATTTGGTTAACATTGAGACTTGCACAGACTGTCAATGTTTCGACCTCCAAGGCAGATATGGATACCAGTCAACTGACTCTGGAGATGCCAAAAGCTCATATGGCGCTGACGACGTTCAGTCTCCGAAGCGTGCTCGTGGTAAGCGCTGCCTCTAATCACTCTTCCTACCAGTCAACTGTCACTTCTTCATTCTGTTGAGCCGACTAGGGCAGAGCGAAAATGCACCGAGCTAACCGATCTCTCCAGTATGCGCCATACTTCCGACGTCATTGAAAACGTGCATCGCCAAAACACGCCGAATCACCTAATACTTGAAACAATTTTGGGACAAGTGGATGAGGTATTCGAGGTCAAGCTATCACTGGGAACAATTTTCAGTCAAATCTGCCCTCAGAGAAAAGAGTCGGTGAAAATCCCGATTCCGTAGGACTGGGGAATCAAAAAGGTAAACAGTGCCACAAAGGATAAAATTTTCGCCGTCTTTCTGTGACACGCATTTTCCTGTCATTCAGAACCTTAGTGGTTCATTGAATGCCTATGCAATGACTTGCGGGAGCTAGCCAGATGTACAAGTCAGTGTTTTATCCTCCCAGACGAATGTGGTAGCAATTTACCGTCCCGGTGGGTGGGAGGCTCGCGTGGCATGGCCGGAAACCGATCCCGCATCTGAAGCCCGGATCCCCGCCTCAAATAGTGCCATACTGCCTTATAGAATCAAGGTAAAAACTCCCCAAATATGACGTTCAATCGCTCCCTATAGTGGCCTCCAATACCGACGTACCTACGGCTCTTCATAGAAACTTTCAAAACCCTACCTGCCGTAAACGAAGCATATTGAGCGGCGTTGCTGAATCGCCGAGAATCGCCTTCAACCTGGCTTCCATCTCGGGATTTGAGTCGGCCTGAAAAAGACAATATCTTTCAGGAGACATTGCGATTTCTTAATGGGTTGACTTTCGAGTTACTTTCCACGCACGTCCAACGAGCGGAGCCGGTACCTTTGTGCCCCTCCCCTTGGCGCGCCTTTCCTCTCTATTGAAGGAAGGAGTGTACCAATGAGAAAGGCACCATGGTGGGCCTGTCTCTGCGCTCACAAAGGGCGCGAAATTTCTCCTTGAGGCATAAAGCCATTAAAGGCAGTTGGCACACGTAAATCCCCGAGACGCAGTTAAGATTACGCCTGCAGACGAGATGTCACGCGCACCCATGAGCAGGCGCTTGCGTAGCCGCCTTTTCAAGGAAGCCGTACCTTGTATGAGAGGCCCTAACATACGACCTGAACGCCACCACGGCCGCCCCCACAATAGCGATTGTCCTGACGCTTTATTGAACAATTTCCTGAGCTTATTATGAACCAAAGGAATCGAAGTATGAAGACGGCCTGCGGCGCTGACCCATGGACATATGAGCGTACACACTGCTGCCAGCGTTTCTTCCGTAGCGGTTATTTGCAAGATGCCTATGGGAAACTCGTCCGAAATTGCTTTCTGAGCCATTAATGACGATTTTGACTCTTTCACTTAGTTCTTTCGCCACCTTCCCACTATATAGCGCCCTGCTAGCACTTTAAGCCAAGTACCAAATTATCGTGCCAACTGCCTTTAAAGCAAAGTACTCTGCGATGATTTCTCCCGACTCACCGCATCCCCCGTATTGATCACAACCGTCAGTTTAGCACCATCTTTCAAGCCTGCTGCAGCCAGCTTGCTGTCGTCATCTGAAATACCAGTATGAGGATGCCTTAGGAAATTTCCCTGATAGTCCCGGATAGGGCACATACCGTGGAGAGGTTTGCCAGCATTCAAAACTTTGAACGATCCACGTGGGAGAAGCATTGCTTCGGCAATTTTCATTTTGAGGTGTCGTACTTGCACTTGGGGTAAGAGCTAAAGTAAACAGTTTGAGGACACTCTTGTAAGTCATTTAGCTTGGATTGCGCCATACAGCACTCTTCGCTCTCGAGTGCGGACCGTGACTGGTACGTACACATATTTACAACCATTGCTATGCCAAAGCTTACTGTCACCCAATGATCATCCTGCTTCATCGAGACAGCTAGGTCGCATTTCAGTATCAGCTGAGGAGGGGATGTAGGCAAGGACCAACCCGTAGTGGTTACACGCAGAACTGACTAGCTGACTTGATTTACTGGCTAGCTGACCTGATAAAGTACTAATACGCCAAATCGATCCGGTCCTGGTAAGAGTGAACGTCGTGCGTTCACGATCTCAGCGGATGGGGTCCTGTTTGGCCGCTGGAGGTGGGGGAGGTGCTTTTGAGAACGGTTTCTGGGTGCTTGCTTTTCTCGTTTTCTTTTTCGTTTCACGCGTGCTATTTATTTCCCTTCCTCCTTTTCCCTCCCCACCGCTCGACGGCTGTTGCCTGCAGAAAAGTAGAGATACTTCTGAAGAAAACTCTAGAAAGGCGGTGTAAAATTTGAAAATCAAGGGGTATGATAGGTAGGATGGGGAAGGGGTCGTACCAGAGAAGAAACTTCTCAGGGACCCATAGTTTTGCAAATTGCAATGTTTTCCCGTAACAGCAGGAAATGCCCTGCCCGGTTCTGTCCGGTGCACTTACAAGACCTCGTTGAGTAGGCATAGTAGCCGTGCGTTTGAGGGGACGGCCGGATGGCGATTAGTTTGACACATCCCCCGCTTTCTGTAGGAGCAACTGCACCACCATAAGCGCGTCGATAGCTCCAATACACCTCACAACTTTTGTATAATCCTGCTAAAAATCATTTAATGGTTGGACTCACGTCAAACGTCACCGCATCGTCTTTTGCACCCAGTAGTTTCGCCGTGAACTGCATTTTCTGAATGAAAAATCAGAATTAATGAGCATAAAAAGGCGAGGAGGTATATTTAGGCTGTTTTGCCTCAACCGCTCATATAGTTCCATTCCATCCCTTCACAAAAAACCACCCGCTATAAAAAGAACTGCTCTAACTGGGCTCTAATACCGGTTTCTGCTCTGTCTCTCTTCCGATACAATGGAGGGATGAAAATGCTGGCCCTTGCCCGTGCCCACTTTCGCTTCCACGCCCATCTCCTCTCCTCTCCCCCCCCCTCAGTGCCGTTGCTGTATTAACCTACCACAGTCAGCGTTCAGACTTCGCGATGAAGCGTAACGACGCCTATCATAGAAACAGCGCTCCAGTGCTGTAGCATAGAAGGGCACCAGACTGTGCGATTGGGCATCCCATACCCATTCTGCTCTCCTATACTTTTTGAGCACTAGCGGCCGACACCGATCAATATCATCCCGTCCCTAGCATTGGAGTACTATTACAATGGTAGGGCGTCGACGCGCGTCATCGCGAAGTCTGAACGCTGCTTTAGTTGGATTAAAGCCACTGCGCGTGGGAACTATCGGAATTCAATAGATTTCACATGGAACAATGGTGCCGACAACCAACGCGCCGCGACCGCGCGCACGTGGAGGAACAGCCTCTTGCCACTCAGGGTAAAGCATATGGTCAAGTCAAAATGCCTGAAACGTAGCAGTAATAGTGGAGAACCCACAGAGATCAGTTGAACAGTCACGTACTGAACACTTTATGAATCTTTCATAGCAAATGAAAATTGAGAACCTATGGAAGAAATCTATAATATTTATGCGAAATATGAATACCCGAATCTATTGGGGCAGTTTACGGTAAGAAACAGGACATCACGCTCCAGCCCACCCAATGAATGCTGGTCGTTCAGGAAGGAGACAGAAAATAGGCGCTTAATAATCCATACTCACACAAATTACGCGCGCAGAAATCGATAGTCATTCGACACGCGCGAATACGGCGATCTGAAGAGTGAAAGCAGCCCCGATGATACATAAAGTGCAACAAGGAAAAAGCATAAATTCCCGAAAGACAACATAATAACCGATGCAGTAAGCAGTGAAAAATAACAAACACAAATAAATGGTAACAATAATGAACGACCTATCTGGTTTGATGGCACTGTGGGGGATTTTTCGAGGAAATTGCATAGATCCTATCGGAATATCCCTGGTACGCATTTCCTCTGTCCACATGTCGTATGTGGGGAAATTCCAGCTGGGTAAGGGGTGTACTTGATGGATGGAGAGGAGTCGTATTTGGTTGTAAAGGGGGGAGGGCCTCGTACCTAGCCTATAAGAAAGTTTACTTTGACAGTTGATTTTTCCCGTTTCACGCGCGTTGGGAGATTCCCACTGGGAGGAAGGGCGGTCATTTGCGAAAAATTCACCAGCGACAGGACGCGCGCTGATCCGCAGATTTTTCAAGATTTCCTGGACCTTAACACTGCCTGACACACTTTCGTCTTAGACGCGCTTACTCGGTTGCATAGAGTTTCCTAAAGAAACCTCCCCGTTTC